ATTTTGTTCTTGTTGCCGTGAAACCTAATCTGAAGGTCATAAATATACCCTCTCTAGGTCATGCCTTGCCAAACTAATTTTAACTATTACACCTCCAACTCTTAAGCTTACTGCCATGTAGGCCCATTTCAGAGCCTTTGACCTACTCCACAAGGCCAGGCTACACGGAAAATGAAACCCCCTTCCAGCTACACTCCTTTTTATATTGTTTATGCTGAACTGATACAATTAAAAACTTACAAGATATGGCCCTAACTTGCTATATTCTCTGCGGACTGAAAACTGGATTACTCAGTTAGTAGTTCTTATTATTAATGATATCACTGGTCTTTTCACTTATAATCTAGACTTTCTAAGAGTATTTTACAATAGGCACTCTCATTTAAATAAAGGTATCTACAACATAAAAAAAAGGGAACTATATTTTCCAAAGCATCAAAAAACAGAAAGTATTACCAGCTCCACTTCTGACAAATCAAAATTATTGCAAGCTATTTTCATCCACTCCTCCAATTCTTGATAAACATTGTCCACTAGTTGTGAATTTTCATCACTGCCGGCAGCTTCTACTATTGTAACCTTCATAATATTTAAACAAATAAAAAATAAGTGAAAAGTATAAACATGTATAAACATTGAAATAATTAAACAACTCACACTAATTGAAGAACCAAAGTACAATTTTTGAGGTCCATCCTTAAGACATTTCTGATTTTCATTGAGAAGCAATGTCCAGCAATCCAAAATACTACTGCTCATGGTTTCAGAAGGCTCTCTTAATGTGTAGAAGTCTTGCCTTTGAATCAAATTCTTTTCGTGAAAACACCAACAATTCACTGTGTCAAAGAGTATAAAATAAGAATTAAAAAAGTGTTTCATAAATAAATAAATAAAAGAAAATCAATGTAATCAAACAAAAGATTACTTACTTAGGAGGCAAACAAGAATAATTGATAATGCAATAGTTAACAATCTCTAGGACTAATGGATCCAATAGCTTCACTTCCTTGTTATTTGACTTCAAAAAGTGTGAATAACTATAAGCTTTTCATCAGATTTCCAATTAAAAGAAATCGAACACCTGGACCCTCCATTTGTAAGAATATTTTCAAAGCCAATCACAGGCAAAGTGCCTCTAATTTCCTCCCTCCCTTCATTTGTTTTGTTGTGGTCAAATTTAGAAACTTGATCCAACACCTCATGCATTTTTGTCACCCAAATAGCAAGTTCAGAGATCTCATCAATCACAGATTGAACTTAAGGATCCAAAAAAAACTGATCATCCTAAGACACATTAATACCAGGAGCATTGTTGGTCTCATTGCGGCGTGAAAGAAGAATATGTTTTATCTTGTCATTGTAAAAACAAGAAATCACATTCATATCTCTTTTCATGAACAAAAATTGTTCATGAATGGGCTGCAAAGACATTAAAAAAATCATGTATAAATATTTAAGTCATATCCAATAATTAAAAAAAGAAAGAATAAAAGTCAGCTACTCCTTACATCAATAGCAGCCAAATGTATCTCTTGATCTAACATCGAACCTGGTGGGAGAATGAACTGTATCGTACCAAGTACATCATTACCCCCCCCCCCTTACATTATCAACATTCCCCATACTTCCCCCCGTAGTACCCACATGAGCATCATGAAACTTCAGCTTACCACTAACAGGATACACATCACAAAGTAAAATCCCACACCCAAAACTTTTTGACAATTTTTCCTTCTTAATTCTGTCCCTAGTCAACTCATCATTCAAATGTTGAATTAAGGGTAAAGAAGTACTTAATTCAACATTCCTAAATTTCAACCTATGAAAGTAAATAATCTCCAACATCAAAATACAACCACAACAGTTCTGAATTTCTCCTTTTTGGTAACTTTCAACACCTTCACACAATTTTTCAAGAACATATTTACACCAATTCAAATTTTTAATTTGTCCAACATCATCAAGTGCCTTAGAAATCCTAAGATCAGCGGTTCTGTTAGAAGTAGGAGCTAAAAATGAGGATACTACATGCATACCAAAGAGTTGCTTAAACTCATCTCCACCTTGACCTAAAGTAGGTATCCTATCCTCTAACAAATTAAGTGGAATTTGGTCATTTTCATCTGTCAACCCAAAATTCAACCTCCAATTATGTTTGAAAACAAAGTCAGGATTATTTTTATTAGCATATCGAGGTATCTCCTCAACATTTTTGGGGTTCAAAGGAAGGAAAAACACATCATACACATCATGCTCAGTCACCACAAACTCCTTACTATTATCAATTGAAAACATGCAGCTACCACAGTCAAAGCAATCAATTAACCACCTATACATATTAGTAGGATTCCTTTTCAACTTCAATGATAACAACCCTCCAAAGCCGATTTCATTAACAGAAATTTTTTGATCATCAGTAAACTTAGACATCATGTCAACCAATTGCAAAGGCCTACATTTAGTTTTAAATGGCCGCAATCTGCAAAATAGAAATAATGCATAGTCACACAAACATGCATGTTGAATCTAACTTTTTGAGAGCACTCCAAAGTAAACAAAGTTACTTACGTAGGTACATCACCCCCAGCTTCACTAGCTTCAACTATTGATTTCTTCGTTCTTATCCTATGCCTCTTAACACGAACAAGAGCAGTAGCTTCAACGTTAGGTTCGGGTTCATCTTCACGAGTTCTCTTCTGCCGAGATGAAGGTGAACCAGTTGCAGGAACTTGATGCTCATGAAACTCTCTAGAAACATCTTCTTCAGCAACATTCTTTTTCTTTTTAGCTCTAGTATTCTTCTTCAAGCCTTTGGCAACATTTGTATACAAAAGAAATCAAAATGTAAATTATAGTGACCTTACTAAAACAATAGTGACCAGAAAATTTAAGACCGTGACATGTCATTGTAAAGTGCACATTTATGCAGCATATATGATACACATGGAGCACTAAAAAAAAACCAAAAATAATCAGCATAATAATCAGATGCGAACAGATGGTTATATGAAAGCAATTTGTAGCAGGTTCTGTGGTCCAGCACAGAAGAATATAGAAAAGCTCCTTTCACATCTTAGGAGATCAATAAACAGTATATCATCAATAGACTAGATAATTCTAATAACAAAATATGGTAAAATACTTCCAACTTATAAGCTGAGACATGCTCATTCAATTAAGCAACTTAGAATGGTAAAAAAATATTTTAAAAATGACCCTTCCCTTGTAAAAGAGAAACCATAAACATAATACAGGAACTCAACCAGTATTATGATTGAATAAACAGCTAGTAAAGAATCTGGTTTCTAAATTGTCACTGAATAATATCATAAACTTTATTCAAACGATTTCAATCATTAAGCATCAATCCACCATTCCAAAAATAGGCAAAATTTCCAAATTATTGAATTACAAATGGAGGTGGGAAGATTTAAGCTTATGACGTATCGTACACAAGTCCTTAGTTTTACCTAATAAGCCAAGGCCTCATCAGTTGGACAATTTTAATTGTTATTGAATATAATCATCACAATTCACAAATCATACGTGACTCTATATACTATCGTTTATGGGAAACTTTAAGCAAAAGCACAACAATATCTTTGATCAGATAGACTATCAAGTTAGTAACATATATAATCCCTCCACCTCCATCCTCAAGGAAAGCATGATTTTTCACTTACACATATATAAGTAATTAAGCATGCACTTTGGTCTTGGATTAGTCTTATGATATAGGAAACATATTGATATCAGAGTTACATTCTAATTAACAAGTTGTTACTTGTTAGTACTAACAGGAACCGACTGCTAGGCAATCAAGTGAGAGTTAGCTAGTTTGACATAGTCATTATACTTTTCTAAACTACTAACTGGATACATTAGACAAACATATAATCTATAAAAATTACTATCCCAAATCATTTAAATATATCATAAAGTAGAAAACAACAACTATTCAACTCAAAATTGCACAAATCATCATCGAGAACAACACATTATCAATAAAATTGAATGTGAAAACAAAAAACAATCAAAATTGAACGAAATAAGAATCGAACATCGCAAAACCCTAGATCTTCACTACGAAACAAAATTCAAATAAAAATTCATGCAAATAGTTTCAATTAAATAAAAACAACAATTAATCAGCTCAAAAGTACACAAATCATCATCGAGAACAACACATTATCAATAAAATTGAATGAGAAAACAAAAAACAATCAAAATTGAAAGAAATAAGAATCGAACATCGCAAAACCCTAGATCTTCACTACGAAATAAAATTCAAACAAAAATTCATACAAATCGTTTCAATTAAAGAAAAACAACAATTAATCAGCTCAGAATTACACAAATCATCATCGTGAACAACACATTATCAATAAAATTGAATGAGAAAACAAAAAACAATCAAAATTGAACGAAATAACAACCGAACATCGCAAAACCCTAGATCTTCACTACGAAACAAAATTCAAACAAAAATTCATACAAAAATTCATGCAAATAGTTTCAATTAAAGAAAAACAACAATTAATCAGCTCAAAATTGCAGAAAAAAAGAGATAAACAAAGATTACCAGAAGGTGGTGTTATCTACTTTTGTAGCCGAAGAACGAAGGCCACGTTTTCGTTGAAATGTAGCACCTCCTCTGGTTCTCGCCATTGAAGTAGTCGAGCTGAAGAGAGAGAAAATACAAGAAGGGAAGAGAGAGAAAGTGTCAGCTTGATTGTGAAAATAAAGGAAAGAATTAATTTGGAGCAATTAATTTGTAAGAAATAAGTTGGGAGGGAGAGTAACTGCTTGGCTAAGTGAGTAAAGTCACGTGACATACTTGGTCCAAAATAATGTTATCGTGGACCAGGTTTATTTACGAAAAATTATAGGACCGGAGGGAATAGTAACAAAAATGAGCAAACGGACAAAACTTGAAAAAAAAAAGCCCACATTTTCGATTTTAGAATTTTAGGGTTTCATGTGTAATTCCTTTTCGGCCCAGAAAAAACCAGCCACTTTGTCATTAGGGATTTTCTCTAAGCTTTAAAGTTTAAAGCAGTAAGGGGGAGAGAGAGAGAGAGAGAGAGAGAGCGCAGCAGCTGCTAAGCAGAAGAAACCCTCAATCCCCCCATCTCTCATTCATCAACCATGGCCGTCGGGTACTCCTCCTCTCTCTCCTCCTCCATTTCCTCCATTGTCGCAGTCTCTAATACCTTCATTCTGCTGTTTGTTCTCTTTTTTGCAGGAAGAACAAGAGGATTTCCAAGGGTAAGAAGGGAGGCAAGAAGAAAGCGTATGTTCGACTAGCCCTAATTTTATTTCAATTTCTGTTTTTTCGATTTTTTTTTTTTTTTTTTTTTTTTTTGATGTGATTTTTTTTGTGATTGTTTGATGCAGTTCCGATCCATTTGCTAAGAAGGATTGGTATGATATCAAGGCTCCTTCAATCTTCAACATTAGGAATGTTGGCAAAACTCTAGTTACCCGTACTCAGGGCACCAAGGTTAGTTTATCTAATTCTCAATTTGGGGATAAGTTGCTTGATTTATTCTGTTTGAATTATTGTTATTTACTTTATGTGTTTTGGGTTATAATCAGAAATATAGTGGTTTATGCAATTATATTAATTATTGAAATTTAAGTTTTTAGCTAAAATGTGGTTATATGAATTATCATTAATGCTGTTTTATAAAGTCCTTTAGATGTTAGGTTTTATGCAAGTTGATGCAGTAAAGAATGTAATTGTGTATTAGCTCTGTTTGTATATTTGATCCTATGATGTAATATAGGTGGAATTCTTGTTCTCCGTTCTTTGTTTAATTGCATATTTTTACTAAATTTATGTGCTTGATGTATTTGTCTGACTCGTTTTTGTATAGAGTCACATGTGGAAATGTAGTGCTTTGAACCCTTTAAGTTAGATTGATTTTGAGATTAGGCGAATAACTGATTTTAAGAAATGATTTTAGTAGTGTTATGAAATGAAGAGGTAAATAATTTTTGCAAATGACTGAGTAGTGTTATCAAGCAATCAATGCCTTAATCCCATAAGCAGGGTCTTAGTATTATGTGTTTGGAACTGTACGAAGTGACTTTAAGTAATGTTATGTGTTTAAAACTGTTGATTTGCCATTGAAAACTCATGTGGTTTTATACAATGCTGGTTAAAGTTATAAATATTTTGTGTATGACCAAGTGTTATCGACCAATTATGCATTCCTACTTTTTTTGGTTATAGAGATTTATTATGCTCTTGTCATGCGACTTGTTGAATTGTCATTTGTTGAATTTTAGATTGCTTCTGAGGGTCTCAAGCACCGAGTTTTTGAAATTTCATTGGCTGATCTTCAAAATGATGAGGATCAATTCTTCAGGAAGATCCGTCTCAGGGCTGAGGATGTTCAGGGCCGTAATGTGCTCACTAACTTCTGGGTATGTATCTACCATTTCAACTTGTGTACTGCCTTGGGCTTACATCTTCTATTAGAAAAGTAGAGGATGCTAAAGGGTGATGATTGTTTTTAATTATTTAGGGTATGGACTTCACCACAGACAAGTTGAGGTCCCTTGTTCGCAAGTGGCAGACATTGATTGAGGCTCATGTTGATGTCAAGACCACTGACAACTTCACCCTCCGTATGTTCTGTATTGCCTTCACAAAGAGGCGCCCTAACCAGGTCAAGAGGACCACCTATGCTCAGTCTAGCCAAATCCGCCAGGTTGGTTATTGCTATAATCGGTTTCTCCTATTACATATACTCACATCTAGATATTTACAAGTAATGCATGTGGCAATTTTTGTGCAGATCCGCCGCAAGATGCGTGAGATCATGGTCAACCAGGCTAGCTCTTGTGATCTTAAGGATCTTGTTGCTAAATTCATCCCCGAGTCTATTGGCAAGGAGATTGAAAAGGCTACAACTGGCATCTACCCATTGCAAAACGTGTACATCAGGAAGGTTAAAATCCTTAAGGCTCCCAAATTCGATCTTGGAAAGTTGATGGAGGTAAGTCATTTCTCTGAATTATTGTTGAAGCATATGATTATGTATCTTTCATTCAATAGTTACTAGAATTCTGATTCTATAATTGATTGTCTATTTTGGCTTGATTGTAGGTTCATGGTGACTACTCCGAGGATGTAGGTGTAAAGCTAGACCGGCCAGCTGAGGAAACTGTTGCTGAGGGTGAGGCCACAGAAGTTGTTGGTGCTTAGACAAAATCTGCTTCATGTTATCACAACTCCATCTCATATATGCTTACAATTTTGCTTGCGAGTTATGTCTCCCACATTGCTGATTTAGTATGGCCTGAATGTGACATTCGATATTGATAACGAGGCCAAGCTAATAAGTACTCTAGCGCTCTGCTGTTATTGGTTTCAGGCCAGGTCTCTACTCTGTAAACCAGTAGTTTCGTGTATCAACATGCCATATCAAGTTCTATTTTTAGGATCTCGTCAAAAAAAAGTTCTATTTTAGGAGATATTTATAGAGTAAATATAAAAGTTGGGTACTAAAGTATAACAAATGTTGCAGTTTTGGTACTGAACTTTGGGATGTTGCAAATTGGGTACTAAAGTTTGGATTGCGTGAAAGTTTCAATTGGTCTTAGGTGAATCCTTATGCACCTAAGATAGGTGCAACAAGGGAAGGCCCAAAACACGCGGCTCAAATTAATAACCCACACAACATATCCGCGATCCGTCAAAATCAAAACTACGCTATACAAAATGAACATTTAGTAAAAAAAAATATGAACATGAAAAAAAAACATTTAATAAAAAAAAAACGTAAAATATGAACATTTAATTACTTATAATGCATATGTTTTATAATCATGTTATTTTTTATTTCTTCAAATTTTTATGTTCATAATTAAATGCATTATATTCATAATAATATTTTATATGTTCATATATAATTTCAAATTTTCATAATGTAAATATATGTTGTTCATGATATATTAATTAAATTTGTTTATGCATATGTTATCTTTCTTAAATGTTTATGTTCATGTTATTTTACGTATATGTTCACCTTTTAAATGTTTATATTCACTTTAAGAAAGTTTTAAACACGACTTTCGCACTAAAGAAAGAACGACCGTGTTCCCTCTAGGTTTCCTCGGGAGGGTTTCTCTCTAGCTTCTTGGCTAGGTTTTCCTGCTTTTCCAGGCGCTTCTCGAATTGCATTCGAGTTTGGCAATTTGTTCCCTGAATTTTATTGATTGGACTTGAATTCCTTATGGCGGAGGCTGATTCAACACCGTTGCTTTTGAATGAGAAGGAGTCAGACATTCTTGGCACAAAGGATTCCCCTAGCAAGGAGGACCCTAATGAAGCAATTGAATGGGATGACAATGGCGAAGAGGATGAGGACGCACGATGTGAACTTGTGTTGGTTGGATCAATCTGGACAAACCGAAACATCAATACGAACGCTTTCATTGCAACAATTAAAGGAGTTTGGCAACCTAAACATGGTGTAGATATCTCCAATATTGGTAAGAACCGGTTTCTCTTTCAATTCTACCATTGGAGGGATAAGCAACGTGTTCTTGACGAACAACCTTGGCACTTTGATAGACACGCATTAATTCTTGGTGATACTATCGATTCTGTGAAACCCTCAGATATAGAACTCTTTTATTTGCCAATGTGGATTAGAGTCTATAATCTACCTCTCAAGGGTTGATTAAACCTAGCAAATGTTGAGAAGATAGGCAATAAATTAGGTGTGTTTGTGAAGATGGATGCGGCAGCGAAGGTAGGGATTGATAAGTCCATCAGATTGCGTGTGATGGTCGATGTTCGCAAGCCTCTTTTTAAGAATGTCAAACTGAAACTACGGTGTGGAAGTGAAGAATTATTTGATGTTAAATATGAAAAACCTCCTTTATTCTGCTTCTTTTGTGGGCCGATGGGACATGGTATTAAAGATTGTGATGATTACAAAGAAGTTGAGGAACCGATGCTACCTTTTGGGGCTTGGTTGAAAGCATCGCCGTGGAAGTATAGTATGGACAGTAGAGAAGATGCAGAAAGGAACGGTGGAAGCTGTGCAAAGACCTTGTTCGTTACGAAGCCAAAGAAGAGCAGTGAACATAAGGCTGCTAGTACTACTCATGTAGACGAGGTAATGAACAAACTTGTTGATGTTGGTCTGAATAACAATGTGGAAGCTGAAAATCATACAACTTTGATGAATACTGTGAATTTTAACATTAATAGTGGGGAGGAGTTAGGGAGAATGAATGAGAAGGAGGCGGAGGGAGAAAAAATAAAAAAGATGGGAGCTGGAGGAGGAATGCGAGGGATGTTGACCTTAGTATGAGTAGTAATGAGCAGATTTCGGGTGGAAAAAGAAAAAATACAGAACCAAGTGAAGGGGAAGTGAGTATGGAGCATAAGGAGGTGAATGATGCGAATAAACGAAGGTTGATCTTGAATGAAAACTGCAGTGTGGCGGGCCCCACCCATAGGGCTCTTGGTGAACAATGACGTACATTATATCATGGAACTGCAGGGGTTTAGGGGGTAACCCTGCAATTAATGCTTTGAAACGTATTGTGTTTCTTGAAAGTCCCCAACTTGTTTTTCTTTGTGAGACAAAAATGAAAGCTTTTGAATTTGAGAAAATAAAACAAAAAACAAAATTTGAGTGTGCTCTTGTTGTAGATTGTGAAGGGGAAGGTAGAAGGAGAAGGGGTGGCTTAGCCTTAATGTGGAAAAATTCAGTTGATGTAGTTGTAGACTCATACTCGCATAATCACATTGATGTACGAATCAAGTCTATAGAGTAGAGGGAGTGGAGGTTTTCTGGCATATATGGTCACCCGGAAGATGAGTTCAAATTCAAGACAGGTTTGTTAATGAAGAGCTTATGGGTTGCTGATGGATTACCTTGGTTGTGTGGGGGGGATTTAAATTTAATGCTGCAGTCAAGTGAGAAAGCAGGTGGCCGAATATTTAATAGCGGGGAAGCTGAAATTCTTCGGGAGGCTATTTCACATTGCAATTTGGAAGACTTGGGTTATATTGGACATGATTTCACTTGGTCGAATAATAGAGGTGGGGTGGAGAATATACAAGAACGCTTGGACAGATTTCTAGCGAATCGTGAATGGAGGGAATGTTTTCCGGGCTCTTTTGTTTCTCATTTATCAAAAAGAAAATCTGATCATCTCCCACTTCTTTTATGTGTGAAAGAGGCTATGCATACTCTGAAGAAATAGAAAAAGAAAAAACAATACCGCTTTGAAGAAATGTGGCTCCGAGATGAAAATTGTGCTAAAATTGTTTCGGAGGCCTAGGAAAGGGGAGGTGACTTGTGTTCAAAAATTGCCTTCACCTATACTAGATTGAGTGCATGGAGTAGGGAGAAATTTGGTGACTTTGTGAAGGAATTGCAGGACTGTAGATCAGAGATGGAGAGGCTTATGAAGGAGGAACAATCTGAGGAAGTGATAGCTCAAATGCGGGCAATTGATGATAGAATGGATGAATTGGAGAGGAGAGAAGAAATGTGTTGGAAACAACATAGTAGACAAGAATGGTTGAAACATGGAGATAAAATACTTCGTTTTTCCATACAAAGGCAAAGCAGAGATTCGAAAGAAACAACATCAAGAAAATAAAAGATGAAGCAGGAAACGTTTTTGATGAGGAAGAGCAAATTACAAAAATTTTTGTTCAATATTTTGCGGAGCTCTTTGCGGGTAGCAGCCACATTGAGACCGACCCAGTGATCGAGAAGGTGACTCCGATGGTTAGCGACAAACAATGTAGCACTCTAAATGCCGTCTACACTGCCGAGGAGGTGAAAATTACTTTATTTCAGATGCATCCGACGAAGGCCCCTGGGCCCGATGGTATGTCTGCCATATTTTTTCAGAAATTTTGGGATATTGTAGGGGAGGATGTAGTTGGTAAAGTGCTAAATATCTTGAATAATAATGGTGACATAGGCTCTATTAATCAGACTCACATTGTGCTCATTCCGAAAAAAAAAGAGTGTGAGTCTCCTGTTGATTATAGACCTATTAGTCTTTGCAATGTAATTTATAAAATTGTCACCAAGGTAATTGCTAACCGTCTTAAGTTAGTTTTACCTTTTATTATTCATGAGTCGCAGAGTGGTTTTGTTCCTGGGAGATTGATCACTGATAATGTTTTTGTGGCATATGTATGTTTCCACTACCTTAGAAAGAAGAAAACAGGAAAGAAAGGTTTCTTGGGGCTAAAACTTGACATGAGTAAGATCTATGACAGAGTAGAGTGGAAGTTTTTGGAGAAAATGATGCTAAAATTGGGCTTGCCGGACAGATTGTTAGCCTGATCATGAATTGTGTTAGCTCTGCAGAATTTGATGTCTTGGTGAATGGGCAACCGTCGAGATATTTCAAGCCTAGTAGGGGACTTAGACAGGGTGACCCTCTCTCACCTTTTCTGTTTATCATGTGTGCGGAAGGTTTGTCGGCTCTTCTTCGTGATGCGGAAAGTAAGAAACTCATCCATGGGGTTAAAATTGGGAGACAGGTTTAACCTATCTCTCACTTATTTTTTGCGGATGATAGTCTTCTATTTGTGAGAGCGACGGAGGAGGAGATTGAGAATGTGTTACATATCCTTTCTACTTATGAGTTAGCATCGGGGCATAAACTGAATATGGACAAATCGAAGGTGTCTTTTAGCCGAAACATTGAACAAGAATGGAAAAATATGCTTTAGATGAAGTTATCCTTTAAAGGCTGTCGAAGGACATGATAAGTATCTTGGTTTGCCAACCTACATTGGTGGATCGAAGAAACAAGTGTTCCAAAATATTCAGGATCATGTCTGGAAAAAACTCAAAGGGTGGAAAGAAAATTACTTGTCTCAAGCGGGTAAGGAGGTTTTAATTAAATCAATTGCTCAAGCGATTCCAACGTATGCAATGCAATGTTTTGCGATCCCGGCTAGTATCCTCAATGAAATTGAAAGGTTGTATCGACATTTCTTTAGGGGGCAAAAAAGGGAAGAAAGGAAGCTATGTTGGGTGGCGTGGGAAAAGCTTTATACTTCTAAGAAGGATAGGGGGCTTGGATTTAGAAATATGAGAAACTTTAATAGTGCTCTATTGGCAAAACAAGCTTGGCGTATTATTTCGAATCTGGAGTCTCTTGCGGCTAGAGTTCTAAAAGGATAATATTTCCCTCACTCAACATTATTTGATGCAAAGGTGTGCCCAAATGCGAGCTACACATGGAGGTCGATTTTGGGAGCTAGAAATGTGTTGATGAAGGGTGCTAGAAAGGCAATTGGTAATGACTCTACAATTAGTATTTGGCACGACCCCTAGGTGCCTAATCTGCCTGGTTTTAAGGTTGCTTTGAGTCATGGTGGGAATGGTGATGGTCTAGCTGTTGTGCGTGATTTATGGGTGGATAGGTCGTGGAATTTGGAAGCTCTTAATGTGTTTTTTTCTCAAGTAGAAATAGCAGAAATTTGTAATATTCCTATCCCTCTATATGATAGGTCTGATTCATGGGTGTGGCAGCACACTAAAGATGGGCAATACTCTGTCAGGAGTGCCTACAATCTGATCACGTTGGAGC